CAGCTGGTGGTAGCCATGCTCTTGGGGACGCCTTCATGGGCAGCCCAGGGCAACCTGTGGTGGCCACAGCCTTGGGGGTCTCCCCTGGGGCAGTGTGTGGTGGCCACAGTCTTTGGGATGTTCTCACAGCCACTGCAGGGCAGCTCATGGTGGCCACGTTCTCAAGGACATCACCATGGCCACCCCAGGGCAGCCCACAGTGGTCACAGCCTTAGGGACATCCCCATGGGCACCCACCTGCCGGTTCATGGTAGCCCTGTGGCCTTGGTGACGCCCTTCATGGCCTGGGCCATGGAGTTGTTGGACTTGAGGGTCTGGATCTTGAGGGACACGGCCTGGACATTGGCCCTCATGGTGATGAACTTCTTCACGTAGCGCCGTGTCCGCACCAGGTCCTTCGCCATAATCTTCACCGCATCCTGAAGGCCAGGGGGTAACGTTGAGTACCCACGAGGTCCCCCAAGAGGCCTAGGGATCTCCAGGGTCCCCTCTGTGTCCCTCAGGGCCCACCACGATCCCCACGACCATCTCAACAGTCTCCTGGTCCCCTTGTACCCTCTGTGGTCACCTGGGGACTTCCATGGTCCCCCCCCAGTCCCCACCATGTCCCCTGGTCATCTCCATGCACCCACGTCCCAGCTGCATCCCCTGCTCCCACCATGGTCCCCGGTCTCCCCCCAGCATTCAAGTCACCTCCAAGGTCCCCGGGTCACCACTGTGGTCTCCCAGTCACACCACTGTCCCCCAGGTCCCCTCCACGTCCCCCAGTCTCATCATGCTCCCCTGGTGCCCCGTGAGTGTCCCAATCCCCTCCACATCCCCACCGTGGTCCCCTCCAACAGTCCTGGATCCCTCTGCATCCCCTGGTCCCCAGCAAGTGCCCTGGTCCCCTCCGTGTCCCCTGGTCCCCTCTGCAGTACCCTGATGCCCTTCACATCCCCATGTCCCCTCTGCGTCCCCTGGGCCACTCTGCATCCCCCTGTCCCCACTGCAGCCTCTTGGTCCCCTCCATGTCCCCATGTCCCCTCTGCGTTCTCCTGTCCCCACCACGTCCCCTGGTCCCCACAGCTGTCCCCTCTGCATCCCTTCGTCCCCAGCAAGTGCCCTGGACTGCTCCGTGTCCCCTCGTCCGCCCTGTGTCGCCTTGTCCCCTCTGTATTCTCCCATCCCCACTACAGTCTCCTAATAACCTCCACATCCCCGCTGTGTTACCCATCGGTGTCCCCTCACCATCTGGCCCTGCTTGGCCATCTTCTTGATGTCCACGATGATCTTCTTCTCCTGCGCCTCCAGCTTCTGGCGCTCGCGGTCGAGCTCCCGCATGGCGCGGGCCAGCGCCCGCTGGTTCTGCCGCAGCAGCTCCTCCGGCGTCTTCCGGCGCCCAAAGAGCAGATCCATGGTGGCAGCGGTGCCTGGGGACATGGACGGGGGGACATGGACATCGGGGACACAGATGGAGCACAAATGGCAGGGTACAGTCATGGTGGACACAGGGACATGGTAGGACACAAGGACATGGATATGGGGGACACAGGGACATGGTGGGACATGGATATGGAGGACATGGGGGGCATGGATGGGGTGACATGGACACGGGGGATGTAGACATTATGGGGACACAGACGGGGGGGACATGAGCACATGGGGCAGATGGACGTGGAGGGGACATGGGGAACACAAGGCGTGGAGGGGGGACACGAAGATGGGTGAGTGGATGTGGTGGGGACACGGACACGGGGGATGTAAATATTGGGGAACACGGACATTGGGGACGTGGTCACGGGAGAGGGGGACATGAGGGA